TGAGTAGAAATTCCTACTCAAAATTGTTTGTCACCCATTTATAGACTTTGTGTTTATGATAAAAACTATTCATATTATAAATCACTATATAAATGTCACATCTGCAAAAAAATCAATTAAAACTAAAGTGGTTTAGTCATCGAATTGTATAAAAATGCTGAACAACATCGTTAAAAGCATTACGGACCAGTTTGCGGAAGCTGGGGCCTATCCTGGAATTTATCGTTTTATATTTATCATCTACAAGCTTTTACAATGATGAGCATGCGGCTCATTGGTTAGTGGGTTTTTATTCCAAGTGTTCCTGGGGTCGAGACTTGCTAGCGTATGCCACATCATTTAGATTTTTGTCTTCTTTTTAACCATATAACCAAGCTCACTTTTTTGTTGTTCTAATTTCCCTTCTATAAAAATTAATGTAGATGTAAATTTCCATCATCTTCTTTTTTGATGAAAATGCACCTATAAAATAATAACACATTTGATTAAGGCCAAAAACCTTACGTGCCCATGATGAATTGGGGGTTTTGACCGAAGAATCTCCAATGTCAAAGTTAGAATTATGAAAATAATGTATTTAGGAGTTTGTGGGTAGCAAATGACTTAATATTTTAGTGGGATGAGATGGGTATTTATAGGAGGGTGGTGGAGAGTGGTTGGCCATATATGGTGTAATTGGGTGAATAATTGCAAAGATATTATGTGAAATAATATCTTACAATTAACATGACAACTATTCATAAATTAAATAGGAAGTTTTGGGAGTTGCATTTTGAATAAAATCAATAAGGGATTGATGAGGAATGATGAGAGGAATATGAAATATTTCATATTGATCACCTTTGACTCTTCCTTGATTTATTGTCTGTTGCATGCACTTGGGAATTCTGGTGTGCCTTGAGGATAATCTCATATTTTTAACCAAAAGTGCACGTGTCACATTATTTTTTGCTCAAAAAATGCCCCCATACCTGTTGGGCTACTCGCAAGAAAGAGCAGTAGGTATAGGGATCTCCAACTGCTTAGGGAAACATAAGATCGTTTCCTAATTTAATGCAGACTCCCACTTTGACTTGGAATTAGATACTTCTAGGAAAGGGAAATAAATTGCCACCAAAGCCTATTTAAGCTTACCTTTAGTAGGGGATTAAATCAACTTCAAATGGTAATTATTTATCCCTACAAGAAAGGGAAAAAGCTAGAGAACATTTGTTGCCCCTCCTCTAGCATTCTTTTTCCCCTATCCATGTAAAGAACTGTGTTCCGTTGATTTCTTTGTCTTCTCCGCACCGCACCAAGGTAAGAAAAAACTTAACTTTCTTTGTCTTTTTCTTGGGTAGTGATGCCGTGAAGCAACCGTCGGGATGGTGCAGCACGTCGGCTGGCAAGGGCCAAGAATCGGCTTGGCATGAGGAGAAGAGGTGGTGTGGCAGGTGTTATGGCTTCGACTGTTTGGCATGGCTGGAGCCAAGGGCAGGCTCAGCATGGGCTGAGGAAGTGGCGTAGCATGGGCCATGATTTGGGCTGCTTGGCTTAGTTGGAGCTAAAAGCAACTGTGCTGCCTCAGCCGCGTTTTAAGGCATTAGGGTGCAATGCTGGTATGTTAGCTTGCTTATTGGATTTTCAGTTGAGAAAAAATCATTCGACTGCTTCCGGAAAGCTTGACATGGAGCTATTTCCAGGTCTGGGTCAGGAGATAGAGTGAAGTATCCAACTGTGGCTAAGTCTGGATTGGTTTCTGATAGACTCACCACTATGAAAAGTAGGGGAGGAAAGTTCATCACTTGGAAAAGTGGATTCAGCTATTACAAAGGCGTCAAAACATGCTCCTTCTGCTGCAACCACTTTTGTACTACTTGCCAAGAAGGAGGAAACTGCTTGAGTTTGATTTTTCAGCTACCACAAATAGAGAAACCGAGGATTGAGCTGCCAAGATCAGAGCCGCTAAAGATGAAGTGTTCGATGAGCAAACTACTGAGTGCGAAGTAGCTGCTGAGGGCAAGATAGCTGCTAGAGAGCCCAAGGTCATCCAAGCTGCTTAATGAGTAATTTGCTCTATTTAGCTTATGTCGGATTTTGGCGACCTTCCTATAAGTTTATCAATTTGCTAGAAATTTAATAAATTGCTTTCTTCACTCTACTTCATCTTCGTTTTTCTTGAAACTTTGCTTGCTTGAAGTGTTTTGCAAAACTTTTAGCCATAGAACCGTCGGTTGGGCACGTTGCTTCGAAAAAAGTTGACGATCCCACATAGTCACTATGGCCATGAGTTTTGGCTTTTTGGATTCAAGTTGTTGAGTTCTTCGTTGGCTGCTGCCCTTAACCATTTGCTACTTAGCTGATTTTCGAGTATTCAATCATTTGAGCTGTATGGCCTGCATCACAACATGATAAAGATATGTGGAATATGAAAATCATTAACTAATCACATCAAAATGAGTAGTTGTGTGGAAATTTATGGGCAGTTTGCCCCATTCCGTTGAAGAATGAACCTAGATGGGTGTCGGAGAATTAGTTTATCATCTCGCACTGGAGAGCATACCCAGATTAGTGTCGAAGAATTAGTTTACCATCTTGCATTGGAAATCTTACCCAGATGGGTGTCAGATAATTAGTTTACCCTCTCGCACTGGATAACATACCCAGATAGGTGTCGGGAAATTAATTTACCTTCTCGCACTGGAGAGCAATTAGTTTACCTCCTCGCACTAGAAAGTTTACCCAGATGAGTGTCTGGGTAATAACTAACCCCTTCGCACTGGAGAGCAATTAGTTTATCCTCTCGCACTGGAAAGCTTACCTAGATGGGTGTCAAGGAATTAGTTTACCCTCTCGCACTGGAGAGCATGAAAGTTGTTGTTGTGAGTGCAATTGAGGAAATATGGACTGTTGAACAATTAAAATAATCTTCAGCCTGTGACGTCTTGTTCGACGATCTGCTTAAGACTTTAAATTGCTTATGGAACCCGCGTAGGGGTGTAAGTTGGGAACGCAGTGAACTGCTCCCAGACGTTCTCCTAGTATTGTGTTATCTTTAGATGTTTTGTCGTGTACTCTTCTGAGGCTTAGTTGGGAGTTATGGAGCGAAAGTCAACTTAGTGAGGAATGGCAAGGTAAGATTGGCACAACTGAGAACCGTGGTGATAGATCGAGGGCGTCTAGGAGCCTCGCAGCATGTTTCGACACAGCTAGGAGATGTGGTACAAGATAGGCACGGTTGTGAGTCGCAAAGCAGGTAAGCGTGACTGTGAGCCCAAAGCTAGGGCTAGCTTGGACCAGGTTATGTGCAGCAGAAGAAATTGGACCACTAGGTCTGCGGTGTTTGGCTATTGGCGATGTGCTACTCCAGTATTGAATCTTCTAGAGTGATGAGAACGAAACTTGCCCCTGGTGTGCCATTAGGCTAAGTTGCTACATTTCTCATAACAAAAGTAATCTTTGTATCCATGGATGTATGTGGGATGGTTCCATTTGCTTGAACTTGTCAATTAAAGGTGACCTGCTTATGTTAGCCATGTCTTGCCAAAGCGCCTCGTCAGTAACTTTGTCGCGTTGGAAATCGTGAAATCATTCAGTCAGGAGCCTCTCAACTTCTTCTTGAATATGTCTCTATTGGGGCAGCAGAGTTTCTGGTTGCCACCTGTTAGTCTAGGTTGTTATTCCCTGTGCTCGGCTCGTCTATGTCGCAGCTACAGTGCATGTGGTACGTTTCTAGCAAGCGAGCGAGTTACTCGCAGGCTGCCGGTTGAACTGGAGCCGGATTGAGTGATTACTTCTCACCGTCCACTATGTTGCCTACTCCGATGTGAGATGGATTATGCTTCTTGTGAACCTAGCTGCAAATGAACACTTAGCTTAGAAGGCTGTCCATGTTGATTATCGGAGTGTGGCCCCAATCGTGAATGTATGCTTGTTCATAGACTTAACCTAGAGTGCACTAAGACTAGAGTATACATTATCCTAGGGGCCTAAGTAAAAGTGTACATTGCTAGAATGCTCGGTTCGTGGCTGGTCAAGAGGTTGCTTCTGGGACGCTGCTGGAGATGATCGTTGTTTGTCCTTGTCCTGCTTCGAGACACCTTGTCTAGGGCATGCCGCATCTCGGTACGTTGAAAAAACTTATTCACCAAGGTAGTCTGATGCACGAGAGCACTCGTCAATTATATGACTTGTTAAGACAAGTGTTCTTTGCCATGCAGGATGGAAGAGCTTAGATGGTACGTTTCTCCATGGGTGGTAGAAGTGCAGTAGACTTTGGGTGTAAAAGTTGAGCCAAGATATGTCAAATCTGCAAAAAAATTAGGGCGTAAATACCCCCGGTTCAATTGTCGATCCAAAATCTAAAGCCGAGATGGTTGAGCTGGTCTTGGACCAGTCGTGATCGCTAGGTGGACTGTGAGAGTGGGTTAGGCTGTGGAAATGGGCCAAGCCACGTGCAAGGCACGTGGGCGCGATGTAGTCTGGCCTGCTTGGCCTTGGGCCGAGGGTGCATTGGGCTTGCGCTGGGCTTAAAGTGTGTTAGGCTCAAGCTGGTCTTGGGCCAGCAAGTGTTGGGCTACTCCATTTGCGGCAATTATTTTGTCTAATTTCTTTTGTATGGCTTAAAGGCGCCTCCTAGTCTAGATTTCTGGCTCCGCTAGTGTTACGGACCATCTATGTATTTTTTACAATAGACTAACTAATCGACCTAAGTTTTAATTCATTTTTTGCACAAATGATCTTTACAAAGTGATTCATAATATGAATGATCCTAATCATAAGCACACTGCTTTGTAATTTCAACACGAAGAATTTTGAGTAAGAGTTCCTACTCATCATTGAGTAGCCAAACATTATTCCCTAAGAGGTCATCATTTGATGGAGGGAGGGACGTTCGGGGGATATGGAGGAAACATAGTATTTATCGATCATATAGTTAGGGCCTTACACCAGTGAGCAGTGGAGAGGAAATTGCCTTGCAGCCCTTGAAGAGCTGGGGGTTCTCTTAAATACAGTATAAATAAATAACAAAGGCAGAAGAAATATTTATTCACAAGAATGAAGAGTTGCCTCAAACTTCATGGTATATACAAATTTTTTTAAGGTACCTTCTTCAATCCTTAATGTCTCGACGTTATACATGTTCACCAATTTTTACCACATATGTATGAATCTACAACTTACAAAATGAATGACGCTAGTTTATTGTTGTTCGAAATGCTCAGTCATTCTTTCAGTGGTGTAGTCATAAGCACCAAGCAACTGCTTCTTAAATCTTGTGAGGTGTAGTCTCACAGTTTGACCTTCAAGGTAAATCTCCTTTGTGTGTTGCCAACCTTTTTTGGTTACACTAGCTGGATTTTTAAGAACAGGATCATCTTTGCCATACTTGTCGTACAACGAGCTCTCTGTGGGAAGAATTTTGTAGCCAATGTAGTTTAAATCAAGCTTTCTTGCAGGTTCCCCAAAGTATGCCTCTGCTGCCCAACTAGTTCCAAGAGGAATCACTTGGATCAACACAGAGCCAGGTCTCATGAACAGAAAATGTGTCATGGCGGCACCGTGAACCCCTATCACGACATCACTCGAATTAAGAACCCAATAAATCTTTGCCAACTCGGTCCTCGAATCAGGTCTCAGAACTTCAACTTCAAACCCAATTTGCTCAGCCATTTCCACCAACAAGTCCTCATTGGTTATTGCTCTTGATCCGTTTCTAGATACGATCACCAGTTTAGGCCTCTCTAATTGATGTGCTTCATGTAGTTTTTTCTTGATTTTTAAAGATCCTACCGATGCTGGAGACACAGAAACAGAAAGCTTCTCTTCTGCTTCTTGTTCATTAATTAGACCTATAATTCGAGGCCTGTACGCCCTGTCTAGAAGATATTGAAAGTCGAAAATGCTCCTATGTCCCTCCATCAGCGAAGGATCCACAGTGAGCTCGTCGTGAATTCTCAAACCGACAATGGCTTCAGGAAAGCAATGGGTTCTCGTATCTGCACTGAAATCTATTACTGGATAGTCTGATAGTTGTGAAAGAATGTCTCCGTACTTCATAAGCCACCAGTCATGAAAATCAAGAATGACAAACACAACCTTCTTTCTCAGTTCTTGAGAAGTAATGTACAGTGGTATAATCCCGTCGTTGAACTCATGATAAGCATTGCCAGTATAGCCAGCCGTTGAGAAGAACACCGCCGGAACATCATGTTGGACGTCACACTGATGTTGCATCCCTAGAGTATCGTCTTTCTTTGCAATGAGGTCTAATTCAGTGACGGTGGCCATGGTACTTGGTTCCCATTTCCGAGTATACGGTTTGATCTTTTCGTGTTGAAGCCATTCCCCGTTTTCCTCTTCATTTTCCTCGACGATGCTCGAAAGATAGAATGTGAAATTACTTTTATCTCTGGACCTGTAGACAAAGATGGAAGAGGATCCGGAGTGTGTTCTTACATTTCCTTTCAGGATACAAACATCTGATCGAAAATTGCTCCTATCACAAAGTATAGTTCCTGCACCCGCAACATATATAGTTAGTGAAAGTAATTGCAGATAGAAGAAAAGGTAGAATAGTCACGTGAGAAAATAAGCAAGTACACTAATACACCTAAGTCAAGCAAGTTTTACATACTAATTAATGTCATTACAAATGGCAATTACTTTCTCATATTTTTGATATTTTGGGATAGGTCAGTCTGTATTAAACAATGCATTGTAGTTTCTGTTCAGTAATTCTGTGAACTAAAACTATCTTTGTTGTAGTCTGTAATTTATCATAATTAAAAAAATTATTGAACTTTAGTATGATTATTAGTTTTACTCATTTTTAAATTATTTTTTACTATCATTTTCAACTTGAAAATATTTTGTATCAAGATAATTGCTTATGACTTAGGACTCGTTTGGTGAACTAGATGAGATTGGGCGTAGGAATAAAATTGGATTAGCAAGGACTTGTAAGACAAAATTTGTATTGTGGATTCATAATCAATCATGTACAATCATATTCATCTCACATTTTGACACAACAAACAAGAAATTAGACTTAAGTACATTTTAATTGGTCACAACCTATCCTAATCAACCTACCAAACATGTCCTTAGGATTTAGCCCCGAATTTTGTGCTCCGCCCAAACTCGAGACCCAAGCAAATCCTAAGTTAGAAGCTCTACCACAACTCAAAGAAAAAAATATTCGTAAACCCTAAAACCAAACCACCATGAAACCCTAGCACTCATTCTAAAATAATCAACCATGCACAAACTTACTTTGTTAAAGCCTGAAATAATCAACCCCAAAACCTAAAAGCACACCTAATTTCAAGTCATTTTATTTACAAAACTAATATTATAAATCATGATGCTAAAATCTAATTTAGAGGGTGAATCCAAAGAAATGCATGAATTAAATTTTAAGAGTGATTCTATTTATACACAATATTGATGGCTGGATATCTTTTTTTTTTAATAAATCCAACGTCCTTATTTTATTTTATTTTTCATTTACTTTACTTAATATTACATATTTTATGAGGTGAACACCGTTTTTTAACTGGCTGCGGGTTCAACTGGCATGCTCAACTTGCAGGCTCCATTCGTTTGACTTCAACCCCGATAATCAATGGAGCAACTGGATCATATCAACTTGTGGCGGTTCAACTGGAGCTGAATTAACTATAAATTCACTAATTATAATAATTAGAATGTAGGGTTTGGGTTCGAATTGACCATTCACCCCCGTATGAGTTCCACCCTTACAATAAAATTACAAGGAAAGAGAGAGATAGCAGATTAAAAATCAGAGAATTTAAATTTTATCAATATTATCAAAATTGTTTCATATTATATTTTTACGTTATTTTATTAGGAGTTGTTATTAGTGATTAGCAATAACACTCGTTATTTTATCTCTTTTTCAGTATCAACTTGAGTATAATTGTTACTTACAATAAAAAATCAACCCTTTAGCAGTACACTACATAGTACAGATAGTAATACTGTTTAATTAATAAAACTTTGCAAGGTATTTGTTAACAATTTAAAAACACAAACAATCGATCCTAATAGAAGCCATAGAGTAGCAGAGAGCTCTACGTACCGTTGGCGATTGAAGAACCCAAGGGAGCGTATACAACCATATCATGAGCACCAAGGCCTACAAAAGCAAAGGGTACATATTTATTCGTGAATATAGCGGAAAATAAAAACTAGAGGATTCAACTTAAAATCAATTAGCAATAGATATAGAGTCTATCTATTACTTTCCCAATGTGAGATAACTCTCAGAAAAACTGCAGAAGTTTTCAAAGGCAACCTGGAAATCAAATCATTTTCTATGGCTACATCTTAAAAGGGTACTTGAAGACGGAAAGAGGGGGGATTAGGCCATGTAAAAACGCTCTTCTAATAAATTATTGGGCCTGACACGTGAATAGCTTGGTTCTGATACCATAAAAGAGTAAGAACACCCTACTCAAAATGAATTGCATATAAATGGGGAGACCCAATTGCGATACTATATAAGCTAGGGTTTACATATGGGGTACTAATAATCTCAGCATACAAGAAAAACTTAAAGATGCAAAAAGAAACATCAAAATGGGAAAGCAAAGAGAAAAACTTACGTAATAGAGAGAAAGTGGTGTTAAGGTAGAAAAGATGAGGGGCTAATATGAAGCTGCAAGAAAGTGTTAAAGTTCTAATTGAAGTGTTTTTAGTTGGATGAGAAGTAGGAATAAGGATAAGCTCAAAAACTCAAATACAATGGAGAGAAGATTATGATGGTGCTCTCTGTTCTAAACTTGTACAGAGAGTAAAACTGCATATATCATTGCTTTACCCGCACACACACTGTGCACAACGGTTGGGTTACAAAGCATAATAGCAAGAGGATGATCTCTGCCACACATCTAGATGGACACAAGGAGATCTTCACACCTGTTACAAAACCCTTCTTACAATATGACCTCTACACTTGGTTTAATTACCAAAGTGAATACACAATTAGACACAAGACTTATTTACTTCTAATATTCATGTAAGCTCAATAGCTTATACACTAACACTCCCCTTTAAGCTTTGAGCTGATATAACTCCAAGTTTGTCCCTGAGATAGTTGAATCTGTCCTTTGGTAATGCCTTGGTGAAAATGTCTGCCACTTGTTCTTTGGTAGGACAGTAAACCAAGTCAATTATCCCTTGTTGCAAGGCATCCTTGATGAAGTGATATCTCCTGTCAATGTGTTTTGTCTTCTGGTGAAACACAGGGTTCTTGGATATTGAGATTGCAGATGTGTTTATCACACTGCAGAGGGGTTGCATCAACTTGTAACTCTCCAAAATCTTCCAGAACAAATCTGAGCCATATGGCCTGAGCTGTGGCTTCAGAAGCACTGATATACTCGGCTTCTGCAGTAGAAAGAGCAACACAGTGTTGTTTCACAGAGGCCCATGAGAACACTCCACTTCCAAAAGAAAATGCATAGCCTGAGGTGCTTTTGCTGTCTTCAAGAGATCCTCCCCAGTCACTATCGCAAAAACCAATTAAGACTGCCTTCTTGCCTTTCTCTCATACTTCAAACCATAGTCCAATGTGCCCCTAACATATCTGAGCACTCTCTTAGCTGTTCCATAGTGTTTATTGGTAGGACAATGCATATATCTAGCTAATAAACTAGCTGCATACATTATATCCGGCCTTGTGGCAGTGAGGTACAACAGACTTCCTACAATCTTCCTGTACTGCTCCTCATTTGCTGCACCACTTCCATCATCTTTACTTAATTTCTCAGAAGTAATGAGAGGTATAGAGACAGGTTTACACTCCTTTAGACCAAATTTATCCAATAAGGAAGAAGCATACTTCCTTTGATGGATAAAAATGCTAGTATCTGTTTGTATAACCCCCATCCCCAAGAAATGATGAAGTACCCCGAGATCTGTCATCTCATATTTATTTTTCATGTCTTCTTTGAACTCATCGAGCATCTCCTGGTTATTTCCAGTGTATACTATGTCATCAACATAGATAGAGACAATTAGGATATCCTTATCTCCCCTTGTCTTAGTATAAAGAGTTGCTTCACTCAAGCTCTTTATGAATCCACACTGAGTGAAATAACTATCAATCTCTCCATACCAGGCTCTAGGTGCCTGCTTCAATCCATACAGAGCCTTATACAATCTGTAGACTTTATCTTCTTTACCATTAATCACAAATCCTTCGGGTTGTTCAACATAGACTTCTTCCTGCAGTTGTCCATTCAGAAATGCAGATTTAACATCAAGTTGATATAATTTCCAGCTTCTCTGTGCAGCAAGAGCTATCAAAGTCCGAATTGTATCTAGTCTAGCAACCGGAGCAAAGGTCTCATTGTAATCAATTCCTGGTTTCTGCACATACCCCTTGGCAACTAGTCGTGCCTTGTTCTTTTGTACTGATCCATCCAAGTTCAACTTGGTTTTGAATACCCATTTCACCCCAATAACATGTTTATCACTTGGTCTATCCACCAATTCCCAAGTTCTATTCTTCTCAATCATGGTCAGTTCTTCTTCCATAGCTTTTATCCAAGCTTGATCTTGAGCAGCTTCTTCGAATTTTTTCAGGTTCCACAATACACAAATTGCACTGTGCCATAATAATATCATTTATGCTTCTCCATTTCACTGGAGTATGATCATAAGACTGAGGAATCTCAACAGATTCTTGAATGCTGCTTTCTTGTTCTTCAGTATGAGAGAATGTAGAGGAACTGGAGGCACAATCTTGAATCTCACCCAACCCATGTGAATTCTGAATGTGGGTCACAGCAACAGAGTTCTCTGAATGTTCCTTCCAATTCCAGGTCATAGTTTCATCAAAAACTACATCTCTTGAAAGAATTAACTTCTTAGTGCATGGATCAAACACTCTGTATCCCTTCTCACATGTAGCATATCCAACAAACACACATTTGACACTCTTAGCATCTAGTTTCTGTCTCATTTCAGATGGTATATGCACATAGCAGATTGATCCAAATACTTTTAGGTGACCAATTCCTGGTTTTCTGCCACTGTATGCCTCAAATGGTGTCAGATTATCCAGTGCTTTTGTAGGTGATCTGTTTAGAATGTACACTGCTGTATGCACTGCCTCAGCCCACAGAAAATATGGCATGCTTTTATCATGAAGCATTGTCTTGGCCATCTCTACAACTGTTCTATTCTTCCTCTCCACTACTCCATTTTGCTGTGGAGTATAGGCCATAGACAGTTGTCTTTGTATTCCTTCAGCCTCTAAGAATTGGTTGAATTCATTTGATACAAACTCACCTCCTCTGTCACTTCTTAGGCACTTTACTTTGAAACCACTCTGTAATTCTACCATGGCTCTAAACTTCTTGAAACAAGTTAGAGCCTCAGATTTTTGTCTTAGGAAGTAAACCCATGACATTCTTGTATAGTCATCAATGAGAAGCATAAAGTACTTATTCCTAGCAATTGATTCATTTTGCATAGGACCACACAAATCAGTGTGTATAAGCTCTAGAGGACTGCTTGCTCTCCAAGCTTTCTCTTTTGGAAACCAATCACGATGTTGTTTCCCAAACTGGCATCCTTCACATACACCATCAATGTTTTCAAGCTGTGGAAGACCATGTACCATTTCATTTTCTCTGAGTTGTTTAAGGCTCCTGAGATTTAGATGTCCTAATCTCTTGTGCCAAATCCAGGTAGAATTTGAATCGGTGCTAGCTTTCAGAACAAGTTGGCTGTTTTTCCACAGAGAAAGGGGATAACATCTGTTTTCCTTCTTCTTAACTTTGATCACAAGATTATCAAGAGTAGGTCCATCAAATACACTACACAAGCCTCCTCCAAACAAGAGATAGTATCCATGCTCATCCATTTGCCCAACGCTCAGTAAGTTTTCCTTTAATCCTGGCAGATGCATAACCTCCCTGATATACTTCTTGCCTCTATTAGTGTCTATTTCCAATGAACCCATTCCAGCAACATTCACTAACACACCAGTAGGCATTTGCACTTTTCCAGCAACATTTGTTTTTATGTCAACAAGCAGATTAGCATCTCCTGTCATGTGGTTACTACAACCACTATCAATATACCAGTTTCCATTTACATTTGACTCTGAGATCGCACTATTAGCATAGAACAGATTCCCTGTCACTTCCACCTGATTTGCAGAGTTTGCCTTTTGCACAGTCTTCCCTACAGTGCATTCTCTAGCCCAATGACCAAATTTATCACAATTATAACACTTAGGTTTCCCCTTATATCTACATTCACCAAAATGGAATTTGGAACACACTCTACTGTGGTTTAACTGCATCTTGCTTCACATACCCAGAAGAGTTTGAGTTCTGTGTAAGATTAGTGAATGACCTCTGTTGAAACTTAGGCTTAGATTCCCATTTCTTTCCCTTCGAATTCAAGTGCTTATAGGATTTGAATGTACCAGATTGAGCATTTCCACTGGTTTGTCCTTTTGGACTCACAGAGAATGAGGCAAAAGCCTTTTCAGTGACATCAACACTATGCAAATCAAATCGTTGTTCTTGACTCTTCAAAATTGCTACAACCTCCTGCAGTTCTACAGTTTCTAAGCACTTGGTATTTTCAATAACTAGACATATGGGATCATATGGTTTACTGAGACTAATGAGAACTTTTTGTACAAGCCTTTCATTAGACAGAATCTCACCAAATGTTTTCATCTGATTGATCAATTCATTTAGCCTAGTAAGATACCCAGACAGAGTTTCATCATCACGCATCCTAGCATACTCAAAATTCACGTCTCAGATTTTGTAGTTTCACAGATCTTACCTGATCACCACCATGGTACTCACCATATAGCAGATCCCATGCCATCTTCGCAGAATCTGCATTGGCTATTCTAGGGAATATCTGATCTGAGACTGCGTTCTGGATAATACCCAGAGCTTTTGCATCCTGCATATATGCTGCGACCATTTTCTCATCGTCTTCTTCTTCTTCTGAGCTTCCTTCAGCCTTCTTCTTCTTCTTTGTTTCTGAGATCGTAATCCCTTTTTCAACTAATTTCCATAACCCATGAGATTTGAAGATCGTCACCATCTTGATTCTCCAGAACTCGTAGTTCTCACCGGAGAAGATCGGAGTTCTCACCTCAGAACTTCCAGATCCAGCCATCTTCGAGCTTTGATGATGCGAATACAAATCGAAATCGAGTTTTATGGAATTCCGGCAATGTCGCTCAATCTGAAACGAGCTCAAGTGTAGCTCGATTGATTTTTACGCCCAGATCTCAAATGATCGAACCTGGCTCTGAGGCCATGTTAAAGTTCTAATTGAAGTGTTTTTAGTTGGATGAGAAGTAGGAATAAGGATAAGCTCAAAAACTCAAATACAATGGAGAGAAGATTATGATGGTGGTGCTCTCTGTTCTAAACTTGTACAGAGAGTAAAACTGCATATATAATTGCTTTACCCGCACACACACTGTGCACAACGGTTGGGTTACAAAGCATAATAGCAAGAGGATGATCTCTGCCACACATCTAGATGGACACAAGGAGATCTTCACACCTGTTACAAAACCCTTCTTACAATATGACCTCTACACTTGGTTTAATTACCAAAGTGAATACACAATTAGACACAAGACTTATTTACTTCTAATATTCATGTAAGCTCAATAGCTTATACACTAACAGAAAGGAGAGAGAGGAAGACGAAAGTGAGGAGCTTGGGCCTTGTTCTTTTGTAGAAACCAGAGTTTGAAAACTCCATTAGAATGCTCTGACACTCTTCATCCTCTTCCCCTTTTTTCCTTTGCTGGTATCTCTTATAGTATACCATATTGTTCCTTACTCAAATAACAGCTTAGAGAGAGAGGGAGGGAGAGAGAGAGAGAGAGAGAGAGATATGAACTTGGTGTGTGTTGATTGAGAAGATGTTTCTTCTCATATATAGCTTCAACTACAGGAGAGAGAAAGATTGAGAGAGAGGGGAATAAGAACAAAAAGGGTACGTGCTGTCAATAAATGAAGACTAATTCATGCGAACAACTTACATGGTATATATTGTCACGATAAAATAAGGATACATAAACAAAAATGTACATACATTTTTATTTCATTGACAATAGTTCATGTTCCATATATATGATCTTCTACTGATTTAGTGGTGGTGCTTTCTATTTGCGGTCTCGTCCATGGAATAATTAATTAATAATAAATATGTAGAATAATGCAACATGTTATATATTAATGTAGTCAATTATTTGCTGTCGTTTTTATTTTATTTTAGTGAAACCTTAATATTGTTGGATTAGGCATCCTGTCTAGATAACTGAAAAAAATTACACGTTGAGAATTAAGTTTAATATAAAGTAGAGGTAGTGGCTGCGTGAACCAATGTCGAGAGACAAATAAGGATTCCGTAGCTGTGTGCTTAGAACTGGATGACATTACATATTATAGATTGACTTTGCA